GACTGCCGTGGAGAGATTTTTGCCATGAGAGTAATATAGAAGACCGCTGTCTCCTATTTTCCCAAGCCCATAATCGCTGCTAAAACAAACCCGAACGGAGAGCGTGGGATGCTGTCGGAGCCAATTTTATGCAGGAAAGCCTGGTGTCCCATGAGATAAGTCGAAGCCCACTTTCAAATGATCTGACCGCTTATTTCTCCCTTACAAGGGTCTCTGCCCTTTCTGCGCCACTCCCGTAGCCATATTTGGAGGAGGTTGCTCCTCCACCTCTCCAAATATTCTCGGCAAAGCCCATCGAGCATTCTCATATACGAGAAAGGTGACACATGTGCTAGGGACAACACGCAAGAGGTTGGGGAAAAGGCCTTTGTAATAGCCAACGAAACCTTCGTTCCGCCAAATTTGTTTGATCAAGGCAATGACACCCGGTCTCTTCACAAGTGTCGTTGCACTCGGGTCGTAGGTCTGCAGCCTAGCCCGCACCAATTGATGGGGATATGTCACAGTCCCAGCAAAGATTTTCGACAATGAGGAGGCCATGATGGTGTCCCGGTTAGAAAGGGGCTGGTCTCTCTTGGACGCCCTACGCCACGCCTTGAGCTTCTCATATGCCACGAAATACAGTGAACTGTGGCTGACCCCAACCAGCGTGGGTGTCAGACCATGAAAGAACCCTCGGACTCCTTCTGTTTTGTATATTGCTCGCAGTCCGTACACCAGGCCCGGGTATGCACCCACCTGAGAGGCGGAGGTGGAAAGCATCCGCGTCTTGACCACCCAGATTGGATTCGTCAGAATCGCAGCCAGAATACCAGACGCAGACGAGGCCGCTAGGTAATCGACAGCTGTGAGTTGTTGACCACGAGAATAGCCTCGGAGGTTTCGAATGACATCTTGAGCCTGGCGATACCACAAAAAGTACAATCCCCAGCCAGCTGAATTGCCCACCAGATTGGGACTGAGTCCCCGGTAGAGTGCTGCGAGCCGACTGGGACCTTCATTCCGCAACAGGTCTCGTAGAACGGCTCGAGAGGAATTGAGGAGAGGGTGGGCAGAGGTATCAACTGTTGAATAAGATGTTCAGATTGGTCTCTTCACGTTCTGGGGCTTCTAAACCCACCTTGCAGTCTGGTTTTGATGATATCTAGAGGGTGAACGATCACGGTAGATATCAGCCCGGCAGACAAGCCTGCAATGGTCTCAATCGAAGCTGGCGAGAGACCATGGCTCTGCTGGGACGTCATGAGCCAAGGATTCGAGGGATCACTTCAGGGTTCGGCGGAGTAAGGACTCGGGAGAGGGCTGTGGGTGGTTGCACCAAGCTCGAACATGTTGTTCACGGAAGAGGGGTCGGCGCATCCGATGGACGAGGAGCTACGCCTGCATAGCTTTGTTCGTAGCAATAGGTTGTACGTTGACTGCCTGCCTTTCTACCTCCAAATGTCTGTATGTGTTCATAACTGTATCATAAATTTCCTGCGTAGATGACGCAGGGACGAGACTGATGGAGACGATGGAGATGTCGCAAGTAGGAATGTTAGCCAACGTTAATGTGCAGTCATTTATCACGTGACTACGCTGGTATTACGGTGAAGCAGACCACTTCTCGGATGTTGTTCAGTTTCTCCTCCACTTGATGCTTGAATGCTCCAATGCCAGCGTTTATCACCTCCACAGCTGCGCAAGCTACACGAGGAAAAAAGGGTCTGACTTTGTCACCGCCAATCCCCGAGCCAATTGTCAGGCCATTCTGAGCCAAAACGCTCTCCACCTTTTCAAACAAATAATTTCAACCTTGCCGTTGTCGGCCCTTCGGATCGTTGAGATGCCATTTCACGCCACTCCTTGTATCCCTTATGTAGTGAACTCTTGACGACCTAGATACTCCCTCCTCGAACCTAGATACCATCCGAGCCTCAACACATTCCCTTCAAACTCGTCATCCGCCTCGTTGGTAAACGGCACCAACTCCTCGGCCGAGTTGCAGACCAGACCTGGTGTTGAATAGCCGACGCGACTGGCTTTGTCTCGCACCCCTCACCATGGACATCGTTCTGGAAATCGTTGACACTCTCCTCCTCGATCGTGTCTATGCCACACTATTACCTGCCAGTCCATCGTCCTACCTTCAACAGAAGTTCAACAATGCCACAACTTCTACGTTCTCGAGTTTGCGGGAAAGCGCGACTGCTTCACCTCAATATACATACATCTATGAACCCGCTTCGCGGTTTGTCAGTTTGGACCCGACGGAATGGACCTACAGAAGCTCATGGCCTCGCGACAACATCTTCAGACAAGGGATTAGCCTGTTCTTCATAGTTTGGTGAGTCCAGGATGGCAGCATTACTGTCGACACATGTCTTTCTACTAACACCTACTGTTCTAGGTTTTTTGGGCTCATCCTCTACTTTCTCTGCGCCTCGCTTTCGTACTTCTTTGTCTTTGACAAAGCGACCTTTAAACATCCCAAATACTTGAAGAATCAGGTCCGCATGGAGATCGCCCAAGCCAATCGCGCCATGCCGCTCATGTCCCTGTTAACCGCAGCCTGCATGCTTGCTGAAGTGCGAGGCTACTCTAAACTCTACGATCTTCCTAGCGATGCTCCTTTTGGATGGTACAACGTCCTCCAGTTTCCCTTCTTCGTCCTCTTCACCGATTTCGGCATCTACTGGATTCATCGAGGGCTGCACCATCCGCTGGTCTACAAAACTCTCCACAAGCCGCACCACAAATGGATTGTCCCTACGCCTTACGCTTCGCACGCTTTCCATCCTCTTGATGGCTTCGCCCAATCCATCCCGTACCACGTTTACCCCTTTCTGTTCCCTTTGCAAAAATTCGCCTACATCGCCCTCTTCGTCTTCATCAACATTTGGACCATCTTCATCCATGACGGCGAATACTACTCCAATTCTCCCTTGATCAACGGCGCTGCGTGCCATACCATGCATCATCTTACGTTTAAGGTCAATTTCGGGCAGTTCACCACGCTGTGGGATCGACTGGGGGGTAGCTATCGGAAGCCAGATGAAGAGTTGTTTAGACAGGAGACCAAGATGGGGAAGCAGCAGTGGGAGAAGCAGAGTCGAGAGATGGAAAATATCGTAAAAGAAGTTGAGGGGAGCGATGACCGGAGCTATTTGGCCGATGATGTTAAAAAGATTCAGTGAGCGTCAATGCGTTGTCCGGCCAGACGGACTGGTTTGAGGGATTCGGCGTGCAGCTCAGCAAACAGTTTGCCTCTGGATACCGTGCGGTGGCGGATGTTATGGGCCATGGATTCAATTCAGATATTGTATCCTATCTTGATTTAGATGGGCGTCCGCAAAAGCAAGCGAACGGCAGTTAATATAGTCATTAATGGACAAACTCTCCTCGCTCTGTATACAATACATAGACTTTACCCCCTGTGGGGAGGCTGAACTCTGAGAAAATACAACCAAAACACCTCGACCCATACCGTAGATGGATGCACTTTTGGAAGAGTGTCTCGCTATGATGTTAACATGACAATGGTCTAGGGGTTGAGCAATGTGGGTGCTTCTCGCATTATTTTGTACATATACAAGTAGAAAGACAAAGACTGCCAACAACGCGGAATAGATCGTAAACCACCTATGTGTGCAATGGTACCTCGTACTTGTGAGTGTCTCTGGTTAGAGGTAAGGGACTAAAGTAGTAGTTCGCCCAGTCTAGACATTCTCTCACGGGGGAAGAGCGCTGCAGGTTTCAGAAACGCGAGACCGCTTTCGAGTCATATCAACGCCGATTCCATTAATGCTGCATCTCATGGTTCTGTTCCGATAGCAAGAGACACAATGAGGGAAGACAGTAGGTGTACCATGTAAAAGGGCTCACACTGGAAGGTGATCTCGGATGTGGAGCACGAGTCATATGCATTTGACAACCATGGCCCCATGCACGATTTGAATGAAAGACTTGATTGTCCAGAGGTACCTCCTCCAAAAATTCAGCGCGTACCTCACTCTTACTCATCACAACCTTCCTATTCAACGCCAACCCCGGACCCAAGCACAACGCACAGCCTTCCCCCACGGCACTATGAGAAGGACACGAACTTTGGATCTTTCGGGATGCCGTCCTCTCCGATGCCATTTTTCTTGAACCGCTGTTCCATGTACACCCTTCTGGCTTCATCAAAGTTGATGCCCCGGATCTTCATCAGCCTCTGGATCTCTCGCTTCGCCCTCTGGTCCAGTCCGCCCCGGCTGTCGCCTTCCATGATGTTGGAGCTGAGGTCAAAGTCCGCGGAGGTGAACCCCGATTCGACATCGCCCATGAACGTGGTCGGGACCCGGCTGTACGTGTAGGGGTTTAGTCGGGAGAGCAGGTCTTGCACAGGGATCGGCAGGTACGGTGTCCAGCGACTGCGCGTGAAGTATAGAACTGGAGCGGCAGGGATTAGTAAAGATTCCGTCAGACTTGTAGGGTTCGCGATGTGTAGTAGGCCAACGTACTTGTTGAGAGAGCGATGGAGAAGAAGAGGATCGAGTAGAGGATGTAGGCCATGATCGCGCCACTCCTCTCTTTTCAGATATCGCCTGATGTCGCGCGGGGTTTCTGTACGATTTGACTTGAGGTCACAAGACGAGTGCGAGGCTTCGTGTTGCAATGATCACAGCCTGGTGCCCATCATGAGGCTTTGCGCGAAGTCGCTACTTGCGTCAAGAGCCGTCCGAACCTGGACAGCTGTGACAATCAAAGGCGAGGCATTTGGTGATGGGGCTTGGGTCTTGGGCCTCGTCGTCGTCAGCCTGCCGCGGCAGGGGGCGGACGAGCTCGGAAGTCGCATCGCAGCCGGACGCTCCGCCGTATCATTAGGTGCCAAGCCGGAGAATGTCAACAGCCAATCATGTTTCTGCGCACAGAAAGACCATTGCCATTAGATACAAATCAACCCAAAAAGTTCGAGCCCCCGTCCATGTTGTTTGCGAAAGCTCGACAATCCGTTACCAGTTTTACCGCCGTCAACAATGTCTGAACGTCCAAACGTCTCCGGCGACCTCATCTGGGAGGTTGTCCGTAAGTCTACCCCAGCGAGATCAATTCTCTAGTCCCAGGGTTATACTAATACGAACAAAAACCCGCAGGAAACAACAATGCGTTCCTGGTCAAGAGGAAGTCTGGTGGTGGTGTTCAGTTCTCCCGAGACCCCTTCAACATCGTCAACAAGCACTCGAGAAAACACGCCGGCTTCGTGAACGACAAGGCCGTTTCGATCCAACCCAATGAGAAGGGAGGTGTCACGTTGGTGACCAAGAAGTCCGGATCGTCCAACAAGCCTGCATCAAACTACAACACTCATGCCTTTGGCAAGACCACCTCGAACAGAAAGTGAGTCTTGGGCGGACGCAAATGACATGGCCACAAAGCAAGCATGGTAGCTAACCTGCCCTACAGGATCTACAAGAGCGTGGCAGACGCAGTCGGCAAGCGATCATACCGTGGCGACTTGAACAAAGACGCTGTTTCCCGTGCCAGTGCCATCAAAAACTCGCAGCGACCGAAGAAGGACACTCCGGAGAAGAAGCCCCGTGGGGTCAAGGCGCGAAAGACAGAGGCATAAAGCGTTGTTGCAGAAGGTGGTTGACAAAATTTTTGCTGAGCGTTTCGATTCTGGAAGCACAGGCTTGTGCCATCCCCCGCATGTTGAGGGCAAGATCCGATGAGCCTGGATCTATGATCACCATCCGAGACATTTCTTCGGCGGTGTGTCATTTGAGAATCGGTGGGTGAGATCTTTGTGTGTTCTGGTAATGCAGAACGGGATTATTCCTCCAAAAAAAAATGACAAGCTGGAACTGGGATTACACCTGCATCCGATGGGGTTCAAGGGATTAACATCATTGATGACAAGAGCATTATTGCAGCACAGTGGTACATCCGTAGCACCCAACGAATTGATTTGTGCCCTGACCCAAGCCAGAACAAGACGGTCGCAGCCTGATCCGAGCAATTTTCGTAGAGTACGAGAAGCAGCCTTGCCTGTCTAGTAGTTTGATCAAAACCATCGTCTAGGATGGCGAAAAAAGGGCCCAACGTCCCCCCAAAGGACGCGAAATGTCGGAGCTGCGGATTGACGCGGGGCAACTGCAAGCCAGTCTTTGTCGCCGCTTGAAACCAATATCTGGTCTTGGCGAGGTCGCAAGAGGCTTCCCCTCGCTATTCTGTCCCGCGTCACTGCCCTTCTTGCCCGGCTTCCTCAAAAGAAAGTCTGACCGCCCCAACTATTTCTTAAAACCCTCTCAGTCTTCTCTGCAAACACCAGTTCTCAGGAACCCCCAAATACCTCGAACATATCGCTCTCATTAATTGTCAAAGTCTCTCTCGGTGAGTACGAAGCATCAGTCTGAAGAACGAGGTGGAATCCTAAACTGTCGTCACAGTTCAATCCTTCCCCCCACCAAACTCAACATGGTCAAAGCTGTCGTTCTCGGTGCCTCTGGCGGCATTGGTCAGGTATGCATTTCTCTTCATTTGGCTACAGTAAATTGAGTCGAGTCTAACTTGTTGGCAGCCATTGTCTCTTCTCTGCAAGATTTCCCCCGTCATTGACGAACTCGCACTCTTCGATGTCGTCAATACCCCCGGTGTTGCAGCCGATCTGTCACACATTTCCTCTGTCGCTGTACGTCTGCTGAAATCCTCCTGACCCATACTCACCACACCACGAGTCTAACATATACAGACCATTGGAGGCTATGTTGCGGCCCCAGGTGACTTCAAAGGAGAGAAACCAGAGACAGAAGAAGCAAAAAAGACGGCTTTGACTGGTGCAGATATTGTCATCATACCCGCCGGTGTCCCTCGTATGTACTCTGTTGAGCTTGAATATTTGCTGGGGCTGACAGTGGTTCTCAGGCAAGCCTGGCATGACTCGAGACGACTTGTTCAAGATCAACGCAGGAATTGTCAAAGGCCTTATTGAAGCGTGCGCCAAATACTGCCCCAAGGCATACATCTGCGTCATCTCAAACCCTGTCAACTCCACCGTCCCAATTGCCGCTGAGGTTCTCAAGGCAGCTGGTGTCTTTGATCCCCGGAAACTGTTCGGTGTTACCACCCTCGATGTCGTCCGTGCTCAGACCTTTGTGGGAGAGATCATTGGCGAGAAAGACCCAAGAAAGTTGACCATCCCTGTCGTTGGAGGTCACTCCGGCAACACCATTGTGCCGCTGTTCAGCCAAGCCAAGCCTCCTGTCAACATTCCATCAGACAAGCTAGACGCTTTGGTGCACCGTGTCCAATTCGGTGGTGACGAGGTTGTCAAGGCCAAGGATGGCGCTGGTTCCGCAACACTCTCCATGGCATACGCCGGTTTCAGATTCGCCGAGGCCCTTATCAAAGCATCCAAGGGTGAAAAGGGTATCATTGAGCCAACATTCGTCTATCTCCCTGGTGTCCCCGGTGGTGATGCTATTGCCAAGGCAACTGGCTGTGAATTTTTCTCCGTTCCTGTAGAACTCGGGGTAAGTCTCTTTGACCAGCAACTGCTATTCCTCTTCTCCTTACTCTGTGCTAACTCTTGTAATAGCCCCACGGTGCAGAGAAGGCCATCGACATCCTGGGAAGCGCCAACGACTACGAGAAGAAGCACCTTGAAGAAGCGATCAAGGGGCTCAAGACCAACATCGAGACGGGTATCAGTTTCGTGAAGAACCCACCCAAGTAGGCCTCGTCCTTGTCTTTCTTTGTAACATTGCCTGACCGTTTTGCAGGTAGGATGTGAGCGACTTCTAATCCCCCAGAACGAGCCTGCCTGCCACGCAATCGTGCACCTGTGCACTCGTTCGGTTGCTGGACATTGTTGAAAGCGCAAAAAGTGAGCCGGCCACGGAGACTGACATGGAGCTATTGGAGCAGGTTGTGAAAAGCATGACATGACATGAAATAAAGACCTCCCTTCGTCAATGCAAAGACGGTCATCATCGCCATAGCATAGCTTTTTGGGCTGAGTATGTCTTGTTTTGCAGCGTGGAGATCGCGTAGACAAAAATTATTTGTCCTACTCTTCACGCTTTGTACAGCCACTTCTCTTGTGTTTACAGATTGTGAATCCGTCTGTCAGTTCTGGCACCAGTATTGGGCGGCTCTTTGCAGGGCATGCTCATGTCCTACGCAGGCTGAGAATCCTTTGTCAATTCTTGTCAACGTATACCATGCTCTTTTTCTGCTCATGGCCTTATTTGAGGCTGCACCGTCGTAATCTGGAACACTGCACCAGGCAATTCTATCGTCTCGGCCTGTACAGTGGCTTTGATCCCCAAACTGCTCAGGACACCACGGATAATGCCGCAGGGGAAAAAAAGGTGGGGTTTGGCTCGTTGCAAGGCTTCGGCGTGGTTCGCCATGGACATGCGTGTGAGAGGACGGAATTTGTTGTCTGTAAGAACAAAGACGCCCTGTGTGAACATTGTCAGCATCTCACTTTCAATGTGGCTTTTTTTTTGGACCCAAATCTTGGGCGCGTTGGCTAGATCGACAGCTCAACAACGGACCACCCAGAATCTCGTAGGTTGTGCTGCTCGTCGCCTAGACTCTTGACCATGTAAAGGGGGCCAGAAGGGCCAAACGTACCCGATGATTTGTCTTCAAGTTGTCGACCTGCTTCCTCCACACCACGCCCCAGATGTCCTTGCAGAGGAACTTGATCACGTCGAGGTGGTGGTCGTTGACGTTTCCCACGTTAGCCCCGTTCAGCCCGGCCTGGTTGAAGCGCGGCCGGTCGCGCGAGATGCGTTCACTGAGACCCTCCCCAACACGGAAGCCCAGGCGCTCGAGGCGCACGTAGATGGAATCGGCGAAGATGGTGGTCGCAGGGAGGCCGTCCGCAGCGAGCAGCGCGGTGTTTGAGGGCTGCGAGGACGCAGGGACCGTGTTGGCGCCCGTGACCGTGATACTGGGCGTTGAGGTCGACGAGGCCGTGTTGGACGTTGTCGTCGTGGTCGTCGTGCTACCGCTGGTGGTATTGCCCAGGGTCGCCGGCGGGCCCTTTGACGTCCGTTTCGTGGTCGTTGAGCTCGCGGGGGAGGGTGTGGGACGGTCGAGAGACGCCTCGTAGGCCCGCGCCATGCGCTCGGCCAGCGGGACCAGTTCGATCAGCAGGAGGTCGAAGCAGGACATGTTGACGAGCCGCGAGTCAGCGTCGAAGGGCGCATCGCCGGGAGGAGGTGCGGCCATCGCTCTCTATAAGCTCAAGGGTGCGTCACTTGTTTTTGTTTTTTTTCCCCCAAGTATTCGATCCCGCGGAGGAGGACTTGTTGGTATTATCGGCGCAATATGGAGGTTGGGGAAATGTGTGGTTCGATGGGCTCTCATTGCTCGGGGGTGTCGGGTCTACTGGCGAATATCAACAGGACATATAGATTACCGAGAAGGTGGTATGGGTGTTTTTCGTCGTCAAGCCTTGCATCGTACCTGTGGGAAGTTGAATGAACAAACAGGTCCAAAAGTTCGCCAGGAACATCAGATTGTTGCTGTCTATTGATTTGACGACATCACGTGATGTCCGTCCGGGCCGCAAGGCTGAGATATAATAGCAGCCACACAATCAGGTCCACTCGGTACTTCGTATGTCCAACTATTATCGGCACATCTCAGACACTCTTGTTATATCTGGAAACGAATCACACACCATCGCAGACCTATATGTCTGACCCAAGTCACAGTATTAATTTACAAGTAGTATATCTCCGGTATCATCGCCGAGTCTCTGATTCCACATCGCCAGCGATGGGGATGCAGTCATAACCACATCCGCCTCCATTCTCAAACGCACATGGACACATCAACACCCCACATAATTATTGTACAATCAGCGATAGCATATCGTTTTCTGATGGTGCAGAGTACATTGAGCCCGGAATCTTTGAATGATGTCCCTCCTGCAGAAATCTATTGCGCCATGACATCAACATATCTCCCCGACTTGGGTCCCTTCTTACCAGCCTTGGCAGACTTTCGTCCTGTAGCTGGACCGATCAGGTCGTCAATGCTGCTAGCACTGCTCATTGCAGTGGCAGGACGTGGTGGAGGAGCAAGGCCGGGAGTTGTAGGGTGGCCGATCGGAGGAGTGCTAGCGGCACTTGGAGGACCAGAAACCCCAGGCTGTGACAAGGGTCTGGCCAATCCTCCAGCTCCTTCGGCAGGAGTACCAGCGCGACTTCCTGGTGCCGAGGGCGGTCCTATACCGAGACCTGGAATATTCGGATGCGAGGTAGGAGGTGTAGAAGACATAGGTGGTCTCGGAGGCCCTGGAGCGCTCATAGGAGGGGCGGGAGTACCACCCATTCTGGGCGGGGGAGGGGTTCCTGTCTTCTTCGCCGCATCCGGGTTGTCAGGATTCACCCATTTCCCAAGTTCCTTGTCGTAGTACAGCTTCATCTTCGATTCACCTAGATTGGCTCTGTAGACCTTTTGATCGGCGCCCTTGGGTGGACCAGCATCCAAGCCTTCGGTCTTCTTGCCTCCCAGCCAGCCACCAAACCACGACGAGGATCTTTTCGATTCTTTCTTTTCTTTTTCTCGAGCAGCGTCTGCTTCCGCGGCAGCACGGAAGGCGGCTTC